GTGTTGTTCTGCATGGGGGTGAGTAGAAAATGAAGGCTAATCATGTTTTGGGTGTACTATTCCTTTAATATTCTGTCTCCTAGAACCCCAGTCGGCCTCAGCAGATGGCCGCTCACGCCGAGCCTGGTTCTATGGAAGCTCATTGGTAGAAATCCCTTATGACAGAAAGAAGGCCACCATTCACACCATTTTATCATCCGGAGGGGGGGACACATTTAATTACAAACCGAATTCATGCAGCTGTCTTAAAACACTTCATACAATCAGCACTGCATTGTCAAAATTCAGTTATCCCCAACCTTCAGTCGATTCTAGGCAGCATTTATAGTTTCCACATCGCATTACGTAACTGCACATGCGCAGGAATATCATGTCGAAAGCTTACTGGAATTCACGTCTTCTGGTCGAAGCCAGCGGTCAATTTGACACTGGGAGGAATGTTTACACAGATGTTCTCTGTTTATGCCAAACCTCCTCATACATCATCTAATTACGTACGAAAAAGGCATTAGGGACGTTATTATTGCTAAGACTCATACTTGACTTTCAGCATGTACCGTTTTGTTGCTAAGTAAGTATAGGGCTACGTTTAAGGATATATATAAGACAATAAAACTGCTTCTACAGTTCTGCTGGAGGTTTCTTCCTGTTCAAAGGGAGTTTTTCCTCTCCACTGTCACTACAAGCATGCTTAGTGTGAGGGATTGCTGAGTCAATGAGTCGATGCAATCAGCTGGTTTTCCTTAGATAGAAAACTGGAAAGTGACCTGAGATGACATGATGTGAATTGGAGCTATAGAAATACACTAAACTGAAACAAAGCCATACAATCTGATAGGCGGTGGTTCTATGGCACTTAAACTAAATACCAGTTATCTCCTCCTCAGGGATGCTCATGATATTAAAGGCCTCCATGGTTTCCTGGAACATTTCCTTGTCCGTCTGCCCTGGGATGGTCACATTTCCATTGGACAGGAAGCGGTACTTGCTGTAATCCTCCAGACACAAATCAGCTGAAATGGGAGCAACAAAGAGATCAAATCACTTTATTTCTGTACAGTACAACTACGATCAAACTGACTTTACTATGTTCCAAAAGCAGACATGGAATCTTCAGCTTTTAAATTATTTTCAATAATTGGGCTGAACTAGTGTGTCTGGGCTGGGAAGCAGCAAAAACACCCGTGCTGCTTCGTTTTTGATGCTTGTGCAAGTTTAGTTCTGACGCGCGGCTGAAGCATCTTTGCTGCTCTGGCTGCAAGGTGGAAAAGTGGGTTCAATGCGCGGTGGGCGGAGCTACCCTATCTTTCTTTGCCTGGAACAATGGCGGCTATATTTGCTGTGATCAGTGGGTAAAAAGTAGTTTTAAGATGTTTTTAAGTGAGAAAGTCCACCTGAAAACAGATTATCATCGTGCCTTCAAAGATTCTCTCTGTGGGAGCCGCTCAGACCCCCACATACCGGCGATGCACTGTCACTGGGAATCCCCAGCAGCAGGTTCTGGCCCGGATGCCTCTTAGCGTTTTCCTCTACTGTTCGCGGCAGCTGGAAGGCGTTTTTCCACATACGTAATCTAAACTGCAGGCATCAGGATAATAAAAGCAAACATATTTTGCCGGCAGGTTTCCACATTTTAAGTTAATTTAGGTGTTAATAAACTGTTAAGAGGAGTGATCATAGCGCTCTGCATCAGCAGTGCTGCGTCTGACTCCCTGCCAGCTCCCAGATCAGCTTCTCTCATTGGCTGATGAGGCACGTCGAGCAGCTAAAGTTCAATGTTTTCAACTTGAGCATCTGATGCATTTGAAGCGCTGCTGCGGGACCTTTTGCTGCACGTCAACCATTCGCTTTGCATGTGAACTAGCTGCTCCTGCTGTGAACGTGGCATTAGAGATGGGGCGAGGAGCTCAGTCATCGAGGAAGGACTCCGAGTAGAGCCGCTGCTCCTCCACATCGAGAGGAGCCAGTTGAGGTGGCTCGGGCATCTGGTTAGGACGCCTCCTGGACGCCTCCCTGGTGAGGTGCTCCAGGCACGTCCCACCAGGAAGAGACCCAGGACACGCTGGTGGGACTACGTTTCTCGGCTTTCCTGGGAGCGCCTCGGGGTTCCCATGGAGGA